CGCGCTGTTAACTACTATTAAGATGACATTTTTAAAAAGTTTTAAATAAAAAAGGTTTTTAATTCAAAAATGTTATTTAATTTTATAAAATCATTAAAACTTACATTAAAGAACGTTTATGATTTAAGGGCTATATGGGTAATAAGTTTTATCAAAAATATTGCCTAATTATTGAACACAGTTCCATATTAATTCTTCATACATAATCATACAAAATAGTAATAGAACATTCATAGTAATTCCTTAAAAATAAAATAAATTCCACACCCGAAGTCCGTAACAGACCATCAACGGCGCTGCACAACTCCCCATTAATTTCCCGACTGGCCCTATTGTTAACTCATTGCCGTTAGACAAATAAAAATAAACTAAGCGTAAATACTTAAGAAGTGAATGAATGCCACGAGAAGAGTTTGTCCTTTGTCCGGCGGCCACTAAACCGAAGCTGCCCCTCGTCGCCAAAGAACAATTGACCTTTCACCGGTTTCTGTTCTGCCGGGTTTTTCCCTATTTTGGCCTACTTGATGCGTCTGTATGCGTACCCTTAAGTGTGTGTGTGTGCTAGTGAGTGGAGTGGGGTAGGGGTAAAAGGTGGTATGTGCTAAACTTTAAATTGTCCAATGCTACGTGCCCCGCATGCGGAGTTCATAAATCCAAGCGCTAAATGTAAACATCAACAGTTGCCCACGGAGCTGGGCAGTAGGAACAACAATAACAATAGCAACAACAACAGCAACAACAACAGCAACAACAATAACAAAAGCAAAAACAAGAAGGGAAAACACCAACAATGATGGCAAAAACTTGCAAAGTTCAAACACAAACTAATGCAGCAGCAAAAGCAGGAACAAAAGCCAAGCGGCCCGGCTTCACTTCCCCTCCTCTGACTTCCCTTTGGCACCCACTTACCCACCCACTCATCCACCACCCACTCTTTTTCTCTTTCCTTTGGCCCAAGCCACTTTCACCGTTGTTATTGTTGCTATTCCAGCTTTGGTTATTGTTGTTGCTGGTGTGCTTAATGCGCGATATCCGAATGAGTGTGTGTGAGTGCACTGGGAAAAACACGTTTTAGAGTTGGTAAAAATAGTTTTTTTTTTAAATTTTTTATTTGCCTATTTTCACTCTTTGTAACGCGGAACTTTAACTAGAAAATATTAGTAAATAGCTATTAAAATTGGAATAATAAATTTTGAATCTTGATTTGTTTTAATATTCTTGTTAGGAAACCCACAAATTGTAGCCAAAATTTGTAACTTTTAAATATAAATTATTTGAAAATAAAAAAAAATGTGACTTATGGTTCGTTATTATAAAAAATAACCAAGCCAAATAACCATAAAAAATATAACCAAATTTACGTATTATGTTTCCGAAATCTGCCATCGTCTTTTTAGGCTTTTTCTAAAATTTCCTGAGAACGAACTAGCAGGTACAAAAGCCAAGAACTCCATCCGCTTTCTTCTGATCTACACATCCAACCATAATGCTGGGGACATAAAAACTACTTTAAAATCACTATAAAACTACCATATCTATCTAATAAACCTGTTATCAAAATATTAACCAAAAGAAATTAAACATCATATTGTTATTTACGCCATATAATAGAACTTCAATCCCACAGCGAGATGATGTTCCTTCTGCTTGGAATGGGAAAACTACACAAAAACACTACATTGATAAAAATCTCCCACCATCATATCATCTTTGCAGTGCCCAAGAAATTCCACTTTCTCTCCTACTAACATCTTGTCCTATCATAATACAAACTAATCTTCCCTTCTTTCCACAAAATTCCCCAATACTCGCATTATCGCTCCCAATACCAGAAAATATAAGTTCTATCATTAAGCTAATCAAACAGTTTAGTTTTTACCATCACATCTAAGTATCTCATTTATACAATTTTTATATTCACACCTCTTTATATACCATGTAAATAGTAAATATAAATTTCAAAATCATTTCAGGCCCAGGTCTTAGACGCCATGGCTCCCGCAAAAGATTTAAGTTTTGTAAGCCTAAGTTTGTTTTGTAGTATTAATAATGATATTTAACTTAAACTTTCATTAATAACTAAGTATGATGTAAGAAACTTGTTTTTAATAAGTTTTAATAAAATAATATATTTATTTTAGAAATTTAAAACAAAAATAAATTATTTAAAATATTTGCAAAGTATATTCCAAAGTTTAAATTTGATTACAAATAGAAAACTTTATGGAACAGAACAACCGACTAGTCTTTTATCTAAGTGCATTTAAGATGCATGTATGTGTAGGTGTTGGCCATTTGGGCTTTTGGCATGGTTAGAAGAAGCCAGCAAGCTCCTCTGGCAGGTCCGGCCATGGAAAGCGAGCAAAATAAAATAAACTTGAGTTTTGTTTTCGTTTGTCGTATAAGCAATGGCTTAAAGCTTTGGCCCGGCTTTCGTCCCTCATCCTTAACCCAAACGAATGTGACCAGTGGTAATGACCTCCCAGTACACACACACATACACACACACACACACACAGATAAGCACACACAAAAAGACGTATACATAGAAGGGCTTGTTGCACTTGCCAAGGGTTAAGTTTCGATAATTATGGATGCAAAAGTGGAGCACAAAAACGAAACTGGAAGTGTACATGGAGTCCATGAAGCAGTGAATGTGTGGCATGCCACACTTAAAGTTGTTCACCTTTTTTCTGCCTTTGCATACTCACAATTGAGTTACAGTTTAATTGGTTTATTAAAACGAAAGTTAAACAACTCTAGAAGGGAATATTCTAAGGAAAAGTCGAGTTTTTCATAGCTTGTTTAAGAAAACTATGATTGCCGTTTCACAATTTAATTTACTGGTAAAATTTGTCTCATTTTTGTTTTAGAATAAATCAAAATATATAATTTCGATGTTAAAAACTACCAAAGAATAAAAATGTAATGGTTTCCACATATTTATTCTTTTTAAGTTAAGAAGTTGGTTAAGGTTAGTCTTAAAAAGTATAAAGTGCGTAATATTTAATGCCATTTTTGTCATTGAAAATCTTCAAAATCTTGACGACTCAACAATCATCCTTTATTATTATTTTTTATTCTAAAAATCATTTTAAAATAAACCTAATTTAATATATAAAAGTGTAATATTTCTTATAATAAACCGTAAATGGCGTAAGTCAAGCCTCAGAATTTACAGCCCTCAATTAGACGCCCAACGCGTTGGAAAATGAGCTCTATCTAATCTCAGATGAGTCCCGGTTCTCAAGTGGCCAATTCAATGAATTACGACTCTATCTGATCTATAGATAGCCAGACAGTTTAATCTAAGAGTGCCTTAAATCAAGTTGAACAACTCGTTTTATTCAAACAAATCGTATTAATATTAATTAATTAGGTGAGTGCTAAACATACACAACACATCACAAGTTATTTAGGCAATAATTAAATGAAATTGTTCGTAAGCTGAAGAAACAGACTGCCTTCAATTTAAATCGGAATATTTTTAGTTGCAGTTTAAAATAATCATGATTGTGGGGCAAAATATTTATTTCAATTTGATTCTTTTCTTATAGTTTTGTGAAAATTCCATTGACATTTCTTACAAAACCCTTTGCTCTTTTAATTGACTTTCAGACCCACAGACCCATTCGACATCACTATAAATATTTCCTTTGTCTTGCGATTGCAATTGAATAATCAACCTAACAGGTGGCCACTGCCCGGGAAGACACTATCTTCATTCCCCCTCAAACTATTTATGGCTGTGTCTGAGTTTGGATTAGGGGGCGGGAAACTCCATTTGGAATTCCCCTTGGGCGGGCAAACAAGCCAAGGACGGCGGTGAAAGGAAATCTCTGCCTAATTTAGACTGTGTTTACAGTAAATATGCAAACAGACCGCCAAATTGGCATATAGCAAACACGAATCGAGGCGGAGTTGGGCTGGAGAAACAAAGGCAAGGACACACGTGTAAATTGAGTATACTTGAACCTGAAGTTGATTGTTGTTGCTATTGTTATTGCTATTGCTACTCTCTATTGGCACTTGGCAAACACAAATAATCAAATATTTCAGAAAAACGACAAAAATGATTGGTAAGAAAAAAGGAACAATAGATAATCTAATCACCTTCGGACGTTTCCTTCTTATTAAATTAATTGAAAGGCAAATAGTCAAGAAGCGACCAAGTCTTGGGATTAAGCAATTGACTATCAGCCGCCTTCGAATGCCAACCGCTTATCATTTGCACTCGTTTAGCTAGAAATACCTGTTGTTGCAGTTGCTTTTCTGGCTGTTGCTAAAGCTGACGTGAGTCGAATGTTGCTGTACTCCAGCAACATGTTGCTCGCGTTTGGCCATTCGGCAGTTTTTACAGTACTTAGCATTCGGCTGCAAGTCGGCTCGCCAATGCCATTCGCTGCTGGCCGACACTGGCGCCGCTTCTTCTGCCATTCAGTACGCTTCTGTCACTCGACCGGCCAACAACACGGCGCGCTTGCTCCGCTCAGGTCCGCTCCGCTCCGCCTCGATCACGATCTCGATCTGTACCGCTCGCCCGCTGCATTTGGCATTCGAAAGTCTCTCGCTCGGCGGCTCCAGACCAAGTAATCAAACCAAATTAAGACAACAAAAAATAAAACAGTTTAAAATCAAAAGAAAAAAATTTATAAATAAACAAAGGAGAAAAACCGGCTCTTGATTTTGCACAGGGCGACGATCTCACACCCAAGATCGCCATCGAGAGGCTCGTCCGACTGCATTCTTGCATCACGTGCAGCCCGAGGCACGCCCCGGCACCGCCCCCTTGGCCACTTTCAAGGCGATCTCTGCACAGAGAGAAAATTTAAGGATTTTTAAAGATCAATTTTATTTTTGATAAAAAGTTATTTTAAAATTTCATTTCAAAGTTTAACAAGATTATTTGAATAGATTTTTTAAATATTTCTATATATAAACTTTTGATTTGTTTTGATATTAATGAAGTCTGGGACATTAGAAATTATATTTCCTCAGGCTGAGCTTCTTCTTTCATCTTAACTAATAATAATTTAGAACAATTTTATTTGCATTTTTGAAGTAGCTTATAAAGCTTATATAGAGCATTGAACTATTAATTATTAGCTATTATTTATTTACCGAAATTGACATATAAATAATGCACTAATTAAGCTCTTTAATATCTGAGTTTTGTCTCTGCCTTCGATCAAATCTCTTATAATAAATCGCCAATTTGCAGTTCTTTGTGCAGGGCTTTCCTCGTCATTCCTTCTGCTCCGCTTTAAGTGTTTTGTTTTCGTTACTCAATTGAGCGTCCTCCTTGGAGGGAAAAACAGCTGAAAAACAGCCGCGATATATATATATATACGATTTAGCATATACGGAAACACAGGCGTAAATTGGCGGCGATATCAATTGGAAGAGGTGCAAATGGCCCGAGGAGTGTTACCGCGTTATGGCAAATGCAACTTGACTAATTAAAAGTGCAAAACTATGCGCATGTTGATAGTGCAAGACCTTTTTCACTTTGTTTTTTCTATTGTTTTCTATATCTTTCCAATCAATACCTAATGCAGTGGCAGTTTCTTGCTTTCATCTGCCTGAAATCCCTGACCTGTACCAATTCCGTTCAGCTCTCATATTTTTCTTCAATCATTTGAAAGTCAACAAACGGCGAGGCATCGTTGAGAGGCTTTTAAAAAGTGTTTGTTTTCTGTTTATTTGCGTATCGTTTATTTATAGGCATTAAATGCATCTGTCGGGCCATTGTGAATGCCCAATATTTATTCGTGTTTACATATTGCAATATAAAAAAAAAACATAAACGGCCACAAAACATAATCAAAAGCACAAACATTCTACCTCGTCAAGTGCATGAAAATCAACTGTTTTTTACTCTTTTAATCTCTTCTCTTTTTTCTCACTTTTCATGCTAATTTGCGGGGAGTAGTGCATCACGTAATGACAGAGCATTTGCATTTTATCTTGAAAGATAATATTTTAATAATTGTAACAAAAATAAAAATTGCCAATTTAGAAATTCGCGCTGGAACTGGGAAACAGTTGTTGAAATGGAAAACCATATTATTTTTGTAAATGCAAAGAACATTTGGCAAAGCAAAACAATATTTTGCTTATATAGAAATGGTTGTTAAGGCCAGTGCCTCAGTTTCGTTAATGGACTATTGCCCCTACTTAAAATGTTTTTTCACGTTTAATTATTTGTTGCAACACAGACTTACTCTTACAGATTCTCACCTTTCTAGCCCTTACAGTTTAATATACGTTTTCTTACTTAACCAGAAACTCTGATCATCTCATCTTGGGAATATCCATAACTGATTGATGATCATTCACTCCTCTTTTTAGAATTAATTTTTAAAGTATATTGACCATATCATCTATACTTCTTATATATAGCTCTTTTTGAGTATATAATTTATCCAATAACGAAAAATATTTAGTATATAAAGTGTGTATAGTATATATGCAATATTAAAAGTGAATTTAATAGTTTAATGAAAGCTTACAATATATACAATATATAACCAGTTAAAAATTTAGTTTTGTATTTAAGAAATAATATTTTTCTAGTATCAGCATCATTGAAAAATGTTAACTTAATCAATATTAAAACAAAACTTAGTCTTTGTAATTGCCCACTAAATATGTTCACTGTTTTCCTTCTATGTAACCTAATAGTTTATAATTTTTTAAATAGGATCCCATCTATTAAACGAGTAGTTTGTTGTTTTACTATAAACAAATATTTAAAGTTTGCGACAAGTCATTATTCTTCAGATTTAGTTACCAAGAAAGCAGCTTGCCAAACCCTTTAGCCAAACTAAAAAAACTCTTGCAATGAGCTTGCCCCACTGTCTTGGTTTGACCAGCTCAACCCACACAATGTTTTCGCAAACTATACTTTGACCTGTCCACGCCACATTTGCAACGATAATTGGCAAAATGAAAAGTAAAAATAAAAGCACCCACGGTTAGCAAAGAAGAATATTAGAAGGAACCCCGAGAGTCACACAGAGAGAGTGCCACCCAAAAATGAAAACAAGACAACCTCTGACGCTTTGCTTTCGCTTTTCTATTCATCGCAGACATCTGAGTATTTTTAGATCAATTTTTCTTTCTGTTGGTCGTGATTTTTCTTTATTTTTTTGCCATTTTTTTGCGACTTTTATTTGCCAGCAAAGATGCTGTTTTACTGCGACTCGATCGGGCCATAAATAAGTGTATACGAGAGTGGGCTGTCAGTGCATCAAACTATAAAAACTGCCGAAGCCTATAATTTGTCATTAGCATTTGCATTTTATCATTTTTCATGATTTCATACTATTTTTCCATTGATTAATTTTCCATATTTTTTGCACATTTTTTCAGCCAAACCAGTTACAAGCACTTAATTGCAATTGCTAAAACGACAAAAAATTAGTAAACAGCGAACCGAAAGAACGTGAGAAAATGCATCATTTGTGGAAGAGGAACTGGCTTTGGTCTCTGATGATATTCTCGGGTGAGTATATATATAGGGTCATCTTGCAGCCAAAATCTGACCCGATCTGCCAGGACATTCCCTTTGCCTTTTCGGATAGACGGAGAAAAGTTGGTCGAAAAATTTATGAAATGCCAATTTCACTTACGTTTAACTTTATTACCCCTGACGCACATTTGCAACTTTGTTGCAACTGACTGGCTGCAGCTCCTGCTCCTCCTGCTCCTCCTCCCGCTCTTTCTGCTGGCCAAGAGTCTCAGATTGCCTTTTAGCTTTCAGCTTGAGCACTATTTCAATGTTTCTGTTTGTTTGTTTATTTGTCTCTCACCCACGCTGCCCGCCCTGGTTGCCCTGCTCTGCTCTGTTCTGGTCTCGGATTTCCAGCCCTGCTCCTCCTTTCGGTGGCCAATTCGGAGGAATGCGGCCATGAGGAGTTCACCAAGTGCTCCGAACCACTTGATATGCTGCATTTAACGTCGAACTTCTCGATTGGCGCGGCCAAGAAGGACGAACTGGACAAACTTTGTCAGTAAGTGGCTTCATGGAAAAAATGTTCCCCGTCGATCTAGACTCACCAAATCCAAATCCCAAACGCAATCTGCTGAGCATAGATCGAGTTGGGGTTTCTCATTAATAGATATAGAAAAATATAGAAATAATATTGATTTCTAAAAATATATCATAGTTTCTCTTTACTTAAATCGGACATCAAAAAGTCTTATTAAAAATGTTTCTAAATTTAATTATTTTCCAATACACTTTATACTTTATACTTTATACTTTATACTTTATACTTTATACTTTATACTTTTTTTGAATATATTATAATTAATATTTTTCCTATTTCTTAAACATCAGTGAGCTGCGCAAGGGAGTCAGGTGCATCCAGAGCTACACTCGCCGTTGCATGGATCTGCAGCAGAGGAACGAGTTCAACAAGCTCTACCACGGCACCAACCAGTTCATCAGGGATCTGTGCAACAAGGGCGAGTTCCAGGAGCAGTACCTGAAGCACTCCCACTGCTCCGAAATCGCCAAACGGGAGTTCGAGGTGTGCTCCAATCGGTACAGGGATACGATGGTGTTCCTGAACCCAAATAAGAACCAGGAAACATCCGAGAATGGCACTGTGAATGAAAACATCAAAACCATTTGCTGGTGAGTAAAAAAAAGTCAGTATTAAAAAAGCTTTTTATTGATTACAAAACAAAAGGATAACATAAAATCACATGGGGATTAAACTAACATATTGTGTAACTCTTAATCAGGATAATCACGTTTTTCATTAAACATTTTTCATTAGCTGGTTTCTTTTTTTTTAACAAACAACCTGAAAAATCAGTACAATTAATTAATTAATCTGTTTGCTTATTTTCTGTAACTACCATCCCAGCTCTATTAGTGAACTTTTGGATTGCTCGGAAGATGCTGCAAAGAAGGTGTGCGGCCATGAGGCGGCCAAGTTCACGCGAGAACTGGTGGACAAGTATGCCAACGGCCTGACCAAGGTAGGCTTGAGGAGTTATTTCTCTTAACAAATATCAACTAAATATTACTTTCTATAGATCTACTGCGTGAACTTTACCCGAAATCCGGGAATCTGTCGGAAAGGCGATGGAAACGGCTCCAGTCGAGCGGCTCTGAGCAGTTTGAGCCTTCTGCTGGCAGGGACATTACTCACACTGCTGGTCAGCAGAGGCAACAGATAGATGGCAGAACCACAGCTAAGTGCAAAAATCTAGAACCAGTCTTTCCAAAACGGAATTATGCGATGCAAAAATGAGAAGGAAAAATAGTTAAGGTTTCCCCCATCACACCGAAAGAATTCCACACGCTGTTACGCATACGTTTTTGGCAGTCAATTTAGGCCACAGAAATCCCCGAGAGATCGATGGAGTAAGCTATCAAGTAAAGTACATGTTAAGTATGTTATGTATACCAGTATGCATATATATATATTATATATAGGGGATAGAAGAGCAGTGTCAGGCATAGCTAAGATCGTATATATATATATATACGGATGTGTATGTTACTATATAAAGGATATAGGCTAGCTAGTTAGAATCAGTGTTGAGTGTGTGGCAGGCAGGTTAGTCGTTGTTGGCCTTACTTTCCAATCAGTCGTCGTCGATCGTGCAATACTAGAGTTTCGTTGAGTTTGTTGAAGTTGTCCAGGCTTTAAGTGTAGGAATATATTTTAGAAAAATGCCCCTAAGTTTCACACAAATTGTTGTTAGCTGAAGCGCCCTATTGAGCGCGCCCTTAAACCCCTTAAGTTCCATCTAGCAAAAGTCATTTTGTGTTAATCAGTGGCAGGCGCACAAGGAAAACCCTCCCCAGAGGGGGTTTGCTCACATATCGGCAATAACTTCACGTAAACTAAAAGTGCATTTCTATGAATGAGGATTTTAAAAATTATTTATAAACCTTTTTAGTGGATAGCGTATATTTATTTCAAACACTGTAAATACCTTAAACTATATTCAAATTCGGAAATATACATACAAATATAAATATTAGTTTAACTTAAAAATACACACACACACACACACACACACGAACACCTACTTGCAAAAAACTGTGAATATATATTATGATTAAAGAGTAACATTTATTTTAAGTAAAACACACACATGCATATGCAAGGAAAACAATAAAAAACAAGAAAATAAATTAACCCAAAAAAAGTGTGAGAAGAGTGGTGAAATAAAAGAGGAAAGGAAGAGGGCAAGAAAGGGAAGGGGTTTATACGTCGAAACTTGGGATACCCTACAAAAATAATATTACATTAGTTTTTCACATTCATTATTTAAGATTTAAGACCTTAATCTTTGATTTATGATTTGACTATTTTTATTGGAAACTTAACATGTTTTAACATAAAGAAGTCATTTTTGGATCTTAAGGAACAGACTTAATATAATCTTTATTAACTGATAAAAACTTAACTCGACTTACAACCGAATGCAGTGCACACCAAACTTGAGAAGGGTATGAAAAGTGAACGAGTGCCGGTGCCAAAAATGCTTTTTACTGCAGGATAAAACCGAGCGCAGCCAAAAAGTATGCAACGCGCCCCGGCCGGCGCCCGAAAGTATGCTGCGCAAATATGCCAGCTCTGGTCGCAGTTTACCAGCACGGAGAAGGGTTACGAAAAGGGGGTTACCAGAAGGGTTCGCCACCATGGCGAGCGGGGATTTCGGGCAGGGGTGCCGGTGACCTGCAACTCTGGGGCTGGCCATAATTTATGTTTATGTGCTGCGTTCATTAGACTAGCGGCGGCGACGACGACTACGACGATGCCGACAACGGTTGACTTCTCGCCTGGCAGCTAATTTATAAGGTCGGCACATGGCTCAAGGACATGCATACGTTAAGAGGACGGGATAGGGCAGGGGGGTATGTTGGAACTCAGTGCCAGTTGGGTGCAATAATTACAGTTATCGCATTTGGCCAGCGGCTGAGTTTGCGTTTGACACTCGCAATCATAGTCGGACATTGATTTCACCGGGATTTGGCAATGAAATCTGACTGATAGCTGGTAAAGTATGGTGTCTAGGGAATAGTAAAAATACTTTATAACATGTTTTTATTTCCCTTTAGGCCCTCTTTTAAGTAAAAGTTTATGACCTTTGTCCTACAACTTAAGCTATATTATTTTTGATAGCAATTATCTGATTTTTCATTTAATTTTGATCAATTTGCCTTTCCATTTTACAAATTGTATTGCCTAAATATTGATATTCAGCCTCGTAGACAATTTTTCCAAATATAATTTTCCTTGGCAAGCTAAAAATATATCCCTTTCTGACGACTATCATTTGCTTTTTCTTTTTTGCAATAAAAATATATTGACATCTCTTGCAATCACATCTGGAAATTGCATTTTATAAGAGACGTTGTGAGGCTGCTTTTGGACTTTGGGCCAGATGCTTAACCAATCAATAACTGAGTTAAAAGGGGAAGTGACTGAGCTGGGAGCCAGGTATTGGCATCTCGATTGCAGCTCAAATATTTACGTTTCCATTTAGAGTGGGCACAGATACGAGAAGGAGCTCACCCGGGGGTCATTTTCAGCTTCATTTGTTGTGCAAATAGGCGAAATGCATTGCCATCGAGCAGAGCACCTCACTCTGTATTAATTTGAAGTCATATTTCGTATCTTGAGCAAACGTTTTTCGTTTTTGTGGTAAATGCCTTTTGGCCATTTGGATTGCTTTTATGGCATTTTTTTGTATTTTTTCCTTAATTAATTGAAAATATCTTTTTGGGGTGCAGTGGCTGTGGATTCAGAGTGGCAGGATGCCAAACAAATTGACAGCCAGTTGCCAGTTTTGCATTCATACGGGAAGTGTCGAGTGGCCCTTCTATTTTCCGTTCGTCCCCCCAGTCCCTTATCCAGCTCTCATTCATTTGCCACCCAACCTCCCCCTTTGGCCATCCCCTCAGCTCTTTCACTCATGTTTAATCCTCTTTAAGCGGCAACAGAACGATTACAATTTGATTTTTTTTTTGTTTGTTGTGTCTTTGTTGCATCCTTTTGGTAGCTCGCTTTTGCTTTTATTTGCACATTTCCGCTGCGACTAATCTGCAATTATGTTTTACATAAAAATCCTATCGCATCCTAGCCCATACAGCAACAGAGTGTGAATGAAAAGTTTGCAACAACTTTGTCCAGGCTTGATTGTTTTGCCTGCTGAGATAGTCGGGAAATACAAATATTAAACAACAGTAACACCAGAGACAACGGGGCGAATTAACGGTGGAAGCTTTGCCCGGAACAACGCTGCGTATGCGTATTAAATTCTCAATTTACATCAGATCAAAGCGGAAAGGAATCACAGAGAGTCGGAGATAATTTAATGCCAACTAAGGATTGGAACTCAAAGCTATTAACTAGAGTAGCTTTATTTATGGAGTTAACAGCAGGAAGGAAAGAACCCAAAAAATAGGAAACAAGTTTTTTGGGGAAACCAACAAAAAACAAGAAAGGCTCATCATGCTAGAACTTTGATGAAGTTAGTAAAATAATTAACACAAAATTCAATAAATTGAAACCATTAATTAACTATTATATTGAGCTGCTGTTTACAGCATCCAAAGCAATATTAACAAAAAAAAGCTACCTTTATGTAGCTGCAAACGTTATTAACAGCACACACATTTTTTATTTTTTAATTATATAAATTAATGCATCAGATTGCCATTATCCCGTAGCTGAGCCACACAATTAATGAAATCTGCTTAATTAAAATGAATCAAAATTCAAACAAACATACTGCTTATTGCATGTTTATTACGCCCCATTGACCTTATGACTCAAATCACAATTATTCTCGGCTATCAAATTGTTATGTTAACAACAGGACAGGGATCAAGCTCAAGTGAGCGTATTAACTGATGAACTTCCAGCTAAGGCGGGTACCAAAATGCTAAGCTGTTTGGAATATTTAATGGCCAAAGCCGAGCTCAAGAGCCTGGACTGAAAATCCGAAAACGCTCTTTGAGCATTCGTTGCATTTAGAAGCATTTACGTTTTGTGGCTCCCACATCATATTCACTTTGAGTTATTTTCGTTTCTGTTTCAATTGCAAGTCACTTGGAGAGATTAAATGGGCAACTTGCCCCTGGAACGGCCCCAAATAGCCAAAACCTTTCCGGACAGGACATCCCATACTGATGGCCATAAATGCGCTTGTGGTTGATAGGTGGTTGGCGAAGAGTTCCTGCAGGTTACAGGGTGGGTGGGTAGGTAGGTGGGTGGCTGGATGGTTGTGGACAAAGGGGAAGGGAATCAGCCAGGCCTTGGTCAATGGGCAGCTATGTCAGCTGTTGGCCAGCTGGCTTGGGTTTCGAATGCATTTCGTACATGATAATCATGTTGGTTGCTCCAAGTTGCAACTTGCAACTGCAGCATGCGTTGCATATGCAATTCCTGGGCAATACGGCCATGGCCAATGGTCGATGGTCGATGGGCCTGTCTAGCAAAAGCCTGCTGTGGCTTGTCGTGGTGTGGTTTATGGCAACATCTTGTCCAATTTATTACCACTTTCATTTGGTAGCATAATAGGCAATGCACTCGCACGCACACACAAATGCACAGAGAGAAAAGTCTATGAAGTGCGAAGATAAGAAGTAGATTTTTCGACAACAGCCTAATATTTCGCTTTATTATTAGATTAAAATTAAGAATAAAGTTTAATTTGGTTGACAAAACCTAAAAAACTATTTAAACAAATTAAAAGTCAGGGAAATCAGCATACAAAATATTTTTATAAATTCAATTTTGTAGCACGGAGATAAACCTTCTTCTCACCCATATTTTTCTCCCTGTGTAACGAACGCACTTGTGGCAAATTCTGCCAGCCTGCCAGCATCACATAACACATATCTATAACACGTAGCACTCAAAAATACTCAAACATTGAAATTGGAGTTCTAGTTTTTGGTTCTCGTCTCGTTTCTGCTTCATCAGTTACATGCTTTGAATAATTCAAGCGTATTTTAGGCCTTGCCAGGCAAAATGTTTTCCGCCCCTTTCATTCCCTTTCACCCTGCAGTCTCGCCTGCATTGAGCATCCGGATTTTGTGTGCCCGAAAGTTATTAAATTATTTTAAAATCGCCCTATCTTCAGCACTCCAAAGGCTCAAAGGCAATCCTTCAACCAATTTTTTTTTATGTGAATTCTTGAAAAACTGCAATTATGGCATATTAAGCCAACTGGATTAGCATAATTCAGCGGTTCTAAGTTCAGCAGCCGCTCTTTCTCCACATAAAGCATACTCCCCTCTGCCCACATAACGTATACGCAATGCTTGACGCCAGCCATTTGTGCTGCATATCCCCAGGCGTCGCTGTTACAAAAAGAGCTAAAAAAAAAAAGAGACGAGGCTGTGGCGACTGCTAAAAAACAAAACTCAAGTGTTGAAACGCAACCACACTCCCACACCCCTGTCCCCTTTGTGTCTTTTGTGGCCTTTCGCTGTTTGTCAACAGCAGCGGCTGCAAACACACTTGACGGCGGGGCGTGTCAGGCTTGAGGGGGCGTGGTGGCAGGGTATAGGCGCTTTTTAATTGCACTGAAAACAAAACGCTAAACACTTGTTGGCTGCCTGGATGGCTGGCTGCCTTCCAGCTAGTTGTCGCGTGGCAAATGCCGGGGTGTCATCAAAACTCTCCAAACAGAAAAAGCCCTGCCGCCGCCTGCAGCAGCAATTTGTGTTGCAGTTGCTGGTGATGTTGCCGCTGCTGATGTTGCCGCTTTGATTGTGCACCATAACTGCGAGGCAGCTTCTATGCTCTGCCATTGTGTCCCCCTTTTTCTCTCTCTAGCCGGCATGGCTGAAGTTTTGCTTTGATCGCATTGTAACATTTTGCGACAGTTTTAGATTGTAATGGGGTTCATGGGAGAAATGAGTGTAAGAACGACTCTGAATTGAATCTCAGAATGCAACTTCAACTGGGTAATAATGGTGGCACAGTACACGAATTGATAAAGATTCGAAAAGAATCAGAAAATATGCAACTTCGGATGTAACAATCAAGTTTTACAAACAACTTGAGAAGTCAGCGGAAAAAGTATGTCTTGAAGGAAAAATAGGAAGGAAATATTGTTTGTTTTTGAAATGGTGGATAGCTTTCTTAAAGTTAAAAGAAATCTGCAAAGTATATTTGTTTTCGTAATAGGTATAAGTTGAGAGAGGTGAAAAGTTGTGGTATAAAAACATAATGTTAAACAATAACCCTCTAAATTGAGGTGGCTTAAAGTTTAAAATGAGAACCAAATCTGTTTAACTTACTTAACAAGATCCCCTACTAACGAATTAATCCATCAGTTTTTGAAAACTTACAAACATTAATCTCAAATTTGATATGAAATGGCATTTGTTTGGGCATTTGTAATATTATTTATGACAGTCGTGCCACATTTAATTACCCTGTTCGATCAGATAATGTAGTTAATTTTCAATTTTACTTTTTTGCACACAAACAATTTCCCACGGAGTTCGATTTATTGTCCGCTTCATTGGGACAACATGTTTAATTAACGAACACAATGGCAAAGAGTCGCAGCAACAACACGAGTTTGTCACTGACGTTCACTGGAATTTCTGGCTCTCTGGTGACATTTGAAAAGTTTAAAATAATATAATTTTCGACGCTATATGGCGAACTAACAAGTTCGACTCGCAAGCTCTTGGGCCAGGGAACCGACCGAGGATCTGAGGGAGTTTGTCTTAGCTAACTTTTCACCCGGGAAAGGAGAAACTTTTTTGGCTGCACTGTTGCACCCACCCACCGAAAACACACCCGGACACACACACACACACACACACGAAGATCTATTGTAAAATATGTAAGAAAGTTTCCTTAGCTTGGCTGCGTTTTTGCAAAAAAAAAAAAAAAGCAGCAGCAAGAGCAGCGCAGCATCGTCGTTGTCTTTGGGGAAATTAAACATTTTCTATTTGAAAACTTTGCCGTGCGAGGGGGTGGATTTGAAACTGTGGATTTTCCTAAGGTTCAAGAGCAACAGTTGCCTTTTGAACTGTTTCGGGTCGGTCGGTCACACTTTGGCATTACGTTACGTTCCCTTTGTTCCACCAACAATTGCGGAAGTCATAATTTTCCCGCTGGCCAAGTTTTTCGGGTTTTTTGACAAATTTACCAGCAAATTGCCGGCAAAACTTTAGTGTGCGAGAGAGAGTTCAAGCCCTGCTGTTGAAATGGAATGAGTTTCGGGAGAATTTGGATCTAAATGTCAAGCGGCTTGCTGTCATAGGTGTTGCATATTTAATGCGCCGCCGCCGATGGCAACACCAGGAACCATAGCTGCCCCAGCACAGCGATTCAGGCAAGTGCACCCAGAGTGCATGCAAATATTTTTGTCAACGATTGTTTTGCCTCGAATCCCCCGATTCCGAATGGCGAGCTCTGACTGTGGAATGACAGCAGTGGAGGAGGTGGAGTAGGAGCCAGTCGGAGGTCAGAGGTTGGAGGGAACCACCCCTTGGTATTGTTGTTGTCAACGGTTTGAGTAATTGTCGATGGTGTGAAAATTGGCAACGATGCCATCGAGCTGGAAAAGGATTTACTGGGTTATGTATGAGCCAAAGGCTGATTGAGATGAAGGAGCAGCTGGATCGAGCGGCAAATGGCCATCGATGGATGTCTATGGCATCAGCGATGTTGCCAAAACTGAAATGGTCATTAAGAAGGCGAATAAAACAAATTTAGGTCACTTAAAAAATGCTACAAAAATAGGACGTTTAATGGGGATGTATAAAGTTAAAATAATAACTTAAATGGTAAGTACAGTTTTAGGCGCTATAAAAACTAGGGCTTAGTTGAGATTTCTCTTCCACATAATTGAAGTTTTTCTTTATGCACAAAATTTAACACCTTTTAAGCCCCCTTAGTAGCTAGAACATAGGACATAGGCTGATTATAATACATCAGTTATACATTTAGCTGACTTGATTCTAAAATTTTAAATACTGTTAAACTGTTAAATACTGTGCGCCTGAGTCAGGTTATATAAGATCCTCCCTCCATTGGTTTCCTCCAAAACTTTTTAACTTACAATCGTATAAAGCATACCACTGGAAAGGGCTTGAATGCTTTCCAATGACACCAAAGGTCTATATTGAGACCCCCAATTACCGAAATTGTTGCCTTTTTAGGGTAGTAGCACTTGGGGAAAACGGAATGAATGAAACGAAAACGAAACGTAATGTAATGATCTTGGACTCCTATGACCTATACCCGAAAAGGGTTTCTCAGCCAAGACACCAACCAAAGATTTATCCTAGACACTGGCTGGGCGGTCGGCTAATCAGTGGAGGGCCAGGTTCCAGAAAACCAATGGAGGGAGGATCTTATAGAATACCTGTCTCAGGCGCACACATACATACCGAGTATCCGTGCATACAAGTATTTAAAATTTTAAAATCAAGTCAGCTAAATGTAAATGTATAATCCGCCTATGTCCTATGTTCTAGCTACTCCCCTTCTGCGATTTTCTTTAATCATTTTCAAAAGAAAATCATCAGTGACATTTATACACTCATGTAACAAATTCGCTAATTCAATGAAAGCCTCACATAACGAAAAAGCATTTCCTGATTTCGCACAAATAAAATCAATTAAATCGAACAGAAAGAAGAAAAAAAAAAAACGACCAAACAATATTTGATTACAAAAAAGCAGCCTGCAGCTGATTTTTTACCACAGACTGGGAAAAAAACTTAGATCCAGAGGCAAATTGAAAACACGCTCGCCTCCGCTGAAACAAGTGAAAGGAGGAAAAAAACGCGTCAAAAAGGTGATAAAAAACCCGACAACCAAAAATGATTTTCACATCGATGAAAATTAAACGCGATTCGGGGGAAAACCAATGCGATGTGTTGCATCTGCTGGGGCATTATCAAATAATTCAGTTGTAATCTATTTTAATCCGGCTGCGTGGCCTGCGAAGCCCCTCCTCCCGCCTGCCGCCTGCCGCATGCCCCACTTGACATGGCGAATCATCAGAATGTTTGTTTGCTTGGCCTCAGAAACGCACCCACCCACTTTTCCCGTTTCCACTTACCATTTCCCACAACTCGTTACCAACACATCCACCCACCAACCCACCCTGCCCTCCGGTCATGAAAGTATTTATTTCGACATTTTGCTAAACATTGGCCAGATTTAAATTTCCATTCGTGTAAAATAGCATAAATACATGCAAATATCGTTTGATGGAAATGTCCGGCTATACATTTCAGTCATCCCACTTTTCCTCTTTTTTTCCCCTGCATGGGAATTATTCAAATAATTTAAGCGGCTTAGTGTAATGGCTGGTGAGTTTCTGTCTCAAATCGTGGAGTGAGGCCAAAGCTGCTCTAAGCGAAGGGAATCGGTGCGGTTGCTTAAATTATAGCGAATAATTTGGGAATATGGATTACCAGTTGCATGAAAAGGCCGTTGAATTAATAATTGCTTTGGCTTATATGTTATATAATTCTCTATTTTTGATTGTGCATTTTGATTGACTAAAAATAAGAGAAAACTTGCGTTTTTATATATGAAAATGTTAACAACGCGTCATTTTGTAAGCGTAGTTTTTTTTTTAATCAAATAAAACCCTCGAAATTCCATCATAGAATCAAAATTATTATTGGAATCTATAAATTGACTTTTTAAAAATAACTTCATGTAAATGTTGTCCGATATTGCGTCACTTTTCGAGCATTTTGTTTAGGTTACCCTGCAAGGCTTTAATCGTATTCGGCTTATCTACGTAGACTAAGGACCTTACATCTTTCAACATGTCCATTGACATTGATTTGGTGATAACAGCACGAATTATTTATTCACTAGGTCGATTATGATAGCAACGATAAACCTTTTTCACATAGCATAAATTTTGATAAAAAGTTCCAAGAAATTCCGGCAATTGTTGCTCGTTTGTAAGTTTTTCATGATGAAATGGCAGAGCATACTGGAAACTTCTCACTTTGAAAGAAGACGTTTGGATGCTATACCAACCAGTGCTGCCAGAATGAAAAACTTAACTCTTAAAAAATCACCCTATATTCAGATGTATTTCTGATCATAATCACCCGAGAAATCCCTCCTTTGAATAAGATCTTGGCAAATTGTTTTTACTTTACTTTTGAAAACTCAAACAAACTCACAACTCATCGAGTTTCTTTCAATATTATAATAGAAATTCCTCGAACTTCTTCAATTTGCAAAGAACTTTCCATCCTAATTAAAAGTAAGATAAAAACGAAATACCCAAGCGAAAACTGAATGAGTTCTTCGATAAATACTGATAACTTAAGTAATTTAATTTCACTTTCCTATAAAAGGAAGCCCCATTTTCCCCACGCAAGTCAGTTAACAACAATGTTTCTAACCCTAATCCTACTCCAGTTTTGGGCCCTACCTTGGTTGGTCCTCAGTGAAGAAAGGATCATAGACGGCAACACAGTCAACAATAAGGATGTGCCATGGTATGCCACAGTCCTAGTCAGATCTAGATTGAAATGCGGTGGAGTCCTCGTCTCCAAAAAATACATCCTGACAGCTGCCAAGTGTGTGGATGGCTCTAATGTACGCCATATCGAAGTAAGATTGGGGACCAGCAGCTGCCAGTCAGGTGGAACCCAAGTGGGAATATGCGAGGTGAAGAAACATCCCCAGTACTCCCATTGGCGCTTCGACAACAACCTGGCCCTGCTGAGATTATGTGAGCCACTGACCATCAATGATCAAATAAAGCCAATCAAGAGGATCGACAAGGTGCCCGGGGATAATGCAGCAGCCAAAGTCAGCGGATGTGGCGGGCGAGCGGGCACTCTCTTAGAAGTTCTAAAAGACAAGAGGTTTTTCCCCATTCTTGAGGATATATTTCTACAGCTCCCTGCTCAGCTGTACGGCACCGAAGTGAAGATCTTCAACCAAAGGCAGTGCGCTGCAGAGTGGGAAGGCTGTCCACTTAATTTGATGGATGGGATCTCAGATCTGACCCTCTGCACCAAGTCATCAGGCAGGGGAGCCTGCTCCTATGATATGGGTTCACCTTTGGTGGTCGGCAACAAGCTTGTGGGCATTCTGTCCAGGGCAGGTTGTTCGATCAAGCCCGATGTCTATTCGAGTATCCTTAAGCATACAAGTTGGCTGGTTTCGAATACCAAGGAGTAGTGTTAATAACCAGAAATACTTCCTAATAATTATATAACACTGTAACTTTAAGCTGCCTTCTTAAGAACCTAAAATAAAGAACTTTTAAGTGTGAAAAATCAATTTCAAATGCCACCATTGAAGGATGTTATAAATAGAAGCGACAAAGATATATGAAATTCATATGGCTAAAATGCTCTGGCCAGCACTTATACTCCTTCTAGTGAGCCTATCCTGGTCGTCAACTGCAACTGCTCTAAATTCAAAATGCGGGATCACTGGCAATAAAGCTGAGATAACGGATGTGCCTTGGGTGGCATCGATTGAGCTCAACGGTAACCCCAACTGCAATGGTGCCATCCTCAACGCAAAGCAAATCCTCACCAACTCGGAATGCGTGCCCAAAAGTACTGTGGCAGGAGTCAAGGTGCGGGTGGGCGTTACCACTCAAAAATCGGGATCTTCAATAGGAGTTTGCTCCTCAGTCGTCCATCCGCAGGCCGGCTGGAAGCATTACGACACCAATCTGGCCATTCTGAACCTCTGCGAACCCCTCACACTCTCTAATGAGATCAAGCCCATCCAGTTTATTGACCAGGCACCCGATGTCGAGGCCAAGGCCTCAATAGCTGGTTGGGGTTCCGGCACCTGGTGGTCATTGCTGAAGAAACTCTGCTTGTCCGTATCTTCCAAGGATTTACGATCTCTTGATGTCCAGCTCTACGATGTGGAGAAGTGTTCCAAGGACCGTAAGGGTTTTTTCTCTTCCATAAGCATTACGGATCTCAACCTTTGCTCCGTGAAGAAAGACAGCGCCTGCTCCCTTGACAAGGGCGCCCCGCTGGTCGTCGGTGGCAAGCTGGCTGGGATATTGTCCTTTGGCGACTGTGCCAAGAAGCCAGATATCTACGTGAATTTGTTTAGGCACAAGAATTGGCTGGAGAGCAATACAAAGGATAATAAATAGTTTGGGTTTATTGGTAATTTTTGAGCCGGTTAACTGCAGTAAAGTTTATTCATTATAAGCAAGCGTTTTAGTTTAACCATTTTAGTATTACGTTACTTAAGCTTGTTGAGAAAACGTTTTAGGGGAAGGTATGGGGTGCTTTTTAAGACAAAACCCAGGATCATGTGGATCTTGAGATACCATACCTTAGAAGAGTCTCATTTCCTTGGCCTGAAAATATTTAAGCTCGCAAGGAAGGAGTTGGCTTTTAAGAAGGAAGGAAAGAATACACTGCTTTGTTATGCAATTAAGTAACGCAAATTGAATTAGTAATTATACCGTGAAATGTCATTAAGCCATTAAGTATTTCAAATTGATACTTCAGGCCTTGCTATATTACTTATAGAACCTACAAACCCCTAGCACTACCAATATCGTTTGCCACAATGATACTACCAGTTCTGCCACTCCTTCTAGGACTTTTTGTATCTGTCCAGTGTGGCAAGTTCCCACCATCGGAATACGAAGAGTGCAGCAATGCAACTATTGGCGGTAAACCCATCGACATAGCGGAGGCACCGTGGATAGCTTCCATTTCGATCAGGGAGAAGGCCAAGTGCGGCGGCGTTATCTACGATCTTAGCCATGTGATAACAGCAGGAAAATGTGTAGATGGATATCTGAACAGAGCGGTCAGGGTGCGGGTCGGTAGCACCACTCGCAGTAAAGGTGTCACCGAAGTTGAGGTCTGCAACATCACCGTTCACGAAAAGTTCTCACCGCAATCCATCAACTACAACCTGGCCATGCTGAAGTTGTGCACTCCTCTTAAAGAATCCAAAAGGATCAAGCCAGCCGTGTTGGCTACCGAAACACCCGCTGATGGCACACAGATCTCAAACTTCGGCTGGCCATCCTTAAGGTGGTGGCTCCTCTACTGGCGCGAGTGTCTGGAGGAGGACGCCCACAATCTGCAGAAGGCCGAGGTGGCGATGTATGGTCAAACGGAGTGCACCCGAAAATGGCCAAGAAAAAAAGTTAGTCCCCGTAAGACGATCACGGAAAAGATGATCTGCACGGAGAAGGCCGCTAAGGGTACCTGCTCCTTCGACATGGGCACACCTTTAGTCCACAATGGCAAAGTTATCGGCATCTTGACCCGAGGTGGCTGCACCAAGCGTCCCGATGTGTATACCAATCTCGTCAAGCATAAGCATTGGATAGAGAAAAATGTAGAGTAACTGCAGTGTCTTTCAGTGGGTTAACTGCTGTTAATAAACATTATCATTAACTTGGTTAGTTATTCATTTTAATGGAGTTTTGCAGCCTTAAGAAGTGAGTTAGCGGAAGTTGATAAAGGCAGTAGTAGACTAGCACCCAATACTTCCTAATTAGATAGAAAACTTAAACCCAAGTCAACCCATTACTCAACTTGAGGTATAGGTTTTCCGATAAGAAAAGCTTACTAGTAAAGTCGCTAAAAATTTTACCTATAAAAGACTTTCCCAGGCCAAGCTTAGTCTAGTTGCCAGCCATGTTTCGGCTTGTCTTTTCTCTGCTACTAGTGGCTCTTCCACAGTTAATCTTGGGTGATCCGCACTTTCAAGACCGCATCATTGGTGGCCATTATGTGAACATTGAAGATGCCCCTTACCAGGCGGAGGTAATCGTGGACAACAAGGCAACTTGCAGTGGAGCCATCATCAGCTCAGACACCATCATCACGGCAGCTTCGTGTGTTTCCACATATAGCAGAGCCGTTGAGGTTCGCGTGGGAACAAATTCCAGGGATTATGACGGCACAGGAGTTGTTCTTCCACTCTGCGATATCATCAGTCATCCGAGGTATGACTTCTGGCGCTTCGACAACAATCTGGCCCTGCTAAAGTTGTGCGATCCTCTCCAGACTTCAAGTACCATCAAGCCCATCATCTTGGCTGACAGTGTACCAGAGGATAATACCTGGTTACAAGTTTCCGGCTGGGGATCCACCAGCTGGTTCGGCAGCTTCTTTGACAGAACTTTTTTCAGTCTGCCGGACCACCTGCAGATGGTATGGGTGAGCGTCTACAACCGGCAACAGTGCGCTGAGGATCGGTCTTATTGGCTTGGATTCTGGGATAATGGCATCTCGCATCTCACCCTCTGCACCCAGTACGGCGCTGGAGGATGTTCCTATGACACCGGGGCTCCCTTGGTGAAAGACGGTAAACTCGTTGGCATTCTATCCGAAGGAGGTTGTGGCAAAAAACTAGATGTCTACGCAAGTGTGGTTTGGTTTAAGAGTTGGATTAACGATAATGGTGGTGTCAGTAGCGCGACAACTAGTTCTAGTTCGAGTTCGACTGCTACAAGTTCTAGTAGTACTACACCTACTTCTAGTTCTACAACTTTAAGTCCCACACCTACAACCACTCCTAGTACTACGAGCCTAGCTACTACTGATAGTCCTAGCTCTACAACGCTAGGATCCACAAAAGGTTCTAGTACGACCACTCTACCTACTACAGATAGTCCAAGCTCAACGACATTAAGTACTAGTTCTAGTTCCACAACCCTAGGATCTACAGAAAGTTCTAGTACTACAACTCTAGGTACTACAGCTAGTTCTACCACATTGAGAACTACAGATAGTCCTAGTTCTACAACCCTAATTACTACAGTTAGTACTAGCTCTACACCTTTATCTACTACAGGTAGTCTAAGTACTACAACTTCCAGTTCTTCTCCTACAAGTAGTCTAAGTACTACAGTTAGTAGTAGCCCTACAACTTTATCTACTACAAAAGATCCATTTACTACAACGTCCAGTTCTTCTTCTGAAAGTAGTCCAGATTCTTAAGCCTTAGGTTCCACAGATATTGCGAATGAAGGTTCACTTTCATATATAAAAGCAGCATCACTGTTCATGGGCTCTCCTGATCCATATAAACTAGATAGTTTAACGGAAGAATAAATACGCATAATGGTTTATCTTATAATTTATTTAATATCTTTCTAATTTTCTATTATTAAAATGGGTAGCTGATCTGTGTAACCATATCCATGCTAAATACAATAATAAATACTTAACTTTAAGTAACTAATTAACACAAAAAATAATGTAAATGTGACACTTCCTAACACCGTCAAAGTTGGCTCATGTCCTTGGGTTTTTCCCACTCCGAAACCGCAACCCTTGGGCTGCACTCAGAGTGTCTAAGGCTCAGTCCATGGAAATGTCTCCTACAACAGCCCCTGGACATTTGCATTATTCATGCTGGTCAAGTCAAACAGAAACCAAATGGAAGAGCAGTTTAGGGTACAGCAAATTCTAAATACTCTTTAAAAGAAATCAATAAGAATTTCAGATTTATACTTCAATGTGGTAAACCAAATCTTTGTCTACTGAAATCCTTCCTCTGCTATTTCCCACACTAGGAACCCTTTCAAATTTGAACTTGCCCCTGTACTTAAGTTAATTAAAGTTTATTTTTTGGTCGGCCAGCAAAAGCCAAAGACAAATCGAGCTGGAAAAAAGATGGAGACGTGGTACGGTGGCAAGTCGTGATGAAGAGTCCCCTTAGGCTGACACCATTTATAAAGCTGCCTGGCAGCTGCCTGCATCCATTTGTGGCTAGTGCAACCGCGTTCAGGTTCAGCTCGCCACGTTCGAGCTGACAAAATCAAGATCTGGGGACATGGGATTTACTTGGGCCAGGTTGCCTCGAAAAGGAAAATACTTTTAGTGCAAATTGAAAAGTTCTCTCTTTTGCAGCTTAGACAAATATCTGCAAGAGTGGGCAGCAGCTGCTGGTGCAGATGGCAATGCTGATGCTCCTGCCTCAAGGACATCGACACGAAAGCCGTTCTGACCATTTATCAGAATGTTATTGGCCGAAAGACAAAAAATAGAGAAGGCTAGCGGGAGGAGTGGAAAACCAAAGAAAGGACAGCCAGGAGAACGAAGACAACTGCAATAAAATGCAATGTTTCTATTACAGCGATTTACGTGCACACACCGACGCTGACAGACAGTGATAACTCTATTAATGAACAGGGAACTGGTATATTTGTAGTAATATATTTAGAAAGTATAAAGGAAATATGAAAGGGCTAAGGGGCTAAAGGACTAAAGGGGGAATCTTTCATAACTTTTATATCATTATTAATCACAAAAGAAGTTTCTTTAAAACAAATGATAGGAAAAATGGTCAGTATAATGGATCATAATACTTCACTCCTTTCAAATACCATTCTAAATAAGGAAATGAGGAAACATTATGAGGAAAACTAAAAGGTTTTTCTTACAAAATAGGAAAAAAATCTAAAATCGAAAAAAAATAAAACACCAAAGTTTAAGCTGTTGCCTTTTCTTATACACTTATAACAACGATTTGTAAAGATTTCCAATGCCAATCTACACTATGTTCACTTAACCACACTTTCACTGTACCTCACGCTCTAGTCCACCCATTTAGCATCACCCTGCCGCGTGAGCAACATTTTTATGGCTTCTTGGACGAGCGAATGTTCTGTTTTGGCCAAAGCGAAGTTTTCATGGGTGTCCTCTACGCTGCGACTTTTTGCAGTTGTTTAGTTGTTGGTGTTGCTGGTTGTTGTTGGTTGTTTGTTAACTAGCAGCAACTAGAAGATAAGCAGCCGAAATGTTTCTCCTGCCGCTGGTCAGATGCATTTATTTCCCTTATTCTGCTCGTGTGCATCCTTGGCCTTTGTTGCTGCTTCTTCTTTTTTGTTTCTGTTTTTATTTTTTGGCCATTTTAATTGCTGTTGAACTTGGTGTTTGGCAATTGCCCTGGCAACCGAAAGCAAAATAAAACAAAACCCATTACAACAAAAAGACCCAAGGACCCGGGGCCAGCAAAATCGAAGCAATATATTTGATTTAACTTGTTTGCACAAAATAGTTCTGTTGGCCTTTTTACTTTGGCGCGCACAAATAAATTTGTTGACGCGCTTTGAAAACTATTTTGGGAATTGCGGAGATTTGTGGGAGAAAAGCAGAATTATTATGGCCAACATTGCAACAATTTATGGCATTCAGCTGAATGGCTGCTGGCAAGTCGAGCGAAGTATTCCACCATTGAGTTCGATTAAGTAAGTGAGAATTGAATAGCAAAAATGAATGTTAACTGTATATTGAAAGCCAAAAAATTAGTGCACATAATGGAAGTGTTTAAATAGTGTTTTTTTTTTTTTTTTTAAATAATATACTCTTATTGTTCGGTGGCGACCGCAGGCAGGCGATTAAATATTTAACCTCTTTCTGTTGCATACATTTTAGTTTTTTGCCTCCCGTTCATATATTATTTTAACCAAATTTTCATTTTCCAATTAAGCATAATATGTTTTTAATTCATGCGCTAGGACATTTAATTGAATTTGTTATGCAAAAGCGATTCTCTTTTCTTTCACTCCACTTTTTCTTTTTTTTTTTTTTTAATTTAGTTTAGTTCACCACCCACAAAGAGCCAAACAATTAAATTTCGCCTCTTTATTCGGAGGGGCAAAAACATTTAAATTAGGATTAGTTCCGTATGTGCGTGAGCCTTTAAATCAAAACATATGCAGCGGGATGCCTTTTTGGCCATTCGGCGTATTTCTTTACGCCGCGGGAATATTGATTTGGCCTGGCCCTGGCAAAGTGGCAAGTAGGGGGGAGGGGAGGGCGGCACACACACATAAATTAATATATCCTAACAACATTTGTAACTGAGCAGTCTGCCCCATTGCCCCGTTGGTCATTGCCCGTACCGATTTCCATTTTACGCTCACCCGGAACACCCGGAAAATCCCGGACAATCAGAGACATTTGCTGTCCGGCACGTCGTCGCGCGCATTTTCAAATTATATTATTTTTGAATGGCTTTTTAGAAATTAATAATTACATATGACAACCATGTGTGCCAGGCGATAGTGTGTGTATAGGGGAGGGGTGTTGGAGTGGGCGTGGCTGGTCGGACGTGGCACTTAATTTTTTGTATTATGCAAGTGTCAACACTCCCGGCTTTAATGGCCATTTAAACTGAAAAAGCTAACAATAATAAACTAAAACTTAAAGAATTGAAATGCAATTTAAAGGGGAACCTAATTATTACCTAAGTAAACATTATCTACATATCATAATTAAAAAAATGGATTAATTCAATATTTAACTCTCCAAAATGGAATGGTATGACCTCTCTATCAATGGCCTGGGAATGGCCGGGAAGTGTGAAGGAAAAAAGCTAAAAAAAGTATTTTAAAAGTCCACAAAAAACATAAGGTAGGCCAATTGGTGATGACCAAAAAAAAAAGAAGGTCGCTTTCCCACCTTCACAAAAAAATCCAAATGAATTTCAAAAAAGCCAGAACTAGCCTTTAAAAAAAAGCCAGTTTTGACGGGAAAAAAGCCAAAGCGGTGCACCTACAGCAATATATAGCGTTGTCACACTTGCTCTTTACATCTCGTTAAAACTATATGTTCGTACTCGTACTAGCATAGCCTAAGAAAGTAACGAACTTTAAAACAACTAGAAACGATACAACTTAGAAACGAGACATTCAACTAGAAACGAAAGGCACTCAACGACCGTTACATTCAAATAAAATCAAAACATACATACATATATTTCAATATTGACGAAAGGTGAATATTAGCAAACTCAAGAAAAAAGACTTGTTAAGGTACTCAGAATAAGATCATATTTCAGTTTTTAAACTATATTAAAATAAAAGAAAATGTTACAAATTTCGTAGATTGTTATACAATTATAAGTCAATATTTTTTAATGAGAATTATTTATTTATTTATTAAGAAGTAACAGTTAATTAAAATTAATATCCAGCCAGAAAATATGGGCAATGGCATTTGGTTTATTAAGTCTAGTCTAAGTAAATTTAAGTTATGATGGTAAATATTCGCGATTTTTAAATATTAAAGCATATTTGATATGTTTGATGGTGTGGAAATAGAAATGAAGTCTATTGGGTTGATGTTTTTTAAATTATGTTTATTTTATGGTTTCTTAGAGTATGGCGACTAGGAAGCAGGTGTCATTGCGAAAGGTAGTACCAGAACGGATACGTTGTGTCTTGGGTTTGGTCTCCAAGTGTAAACCTTTGTGATTTTTATTTGATCTCTTCTGGATTTGATATTTTTGGACTTTTTTATAATGAGAATTAATACTCTTCAAATCCACTAATTAAAATAAATGAAAAATTTCTAAGAAACCCCTAAAAAATAAGTTGACATTATCCTTCTAAGAACAACAAATATTTTTAAAGTTTTTTAAATAGAAAATAACAACATAATAAGTTTGATAATAAGTTTATGGAATATATAAAAATATCATAATTAATAAATGAACTTTACCTTAACACTAAGCAACCTATCTAAAAATGAAAGATTTTAGTACATTATCCTTGGAAAATATACAAGCTTAAATAGCTTTCATACATCCTTAGCCATGGAACTTTTCATTCAGTTTATTTTGGTTAGCCCCAGACCAACACTTACGTTTCTATTCCCACTTTTCCATTCTTGGTAGCATCTTTTTTCTAAGGTCCCCGTACGCAGGCCGCCAAATGTTTGTCGATCCCCGGACTGAGACCCAGTTGAGTCCGGAATACTTTGGGCTCTCCCCCATTATTAATTGCTAACGTGCGCTGATTTCTTTGGTACACTTTTTGCGGCTCTCCATCTTCCGGTTTGTTATTTGTTGCCGCTCCTCCTTTTAGCCAATGTTCAGTGCCATTTAACCCTTTTGCTGCTGGCTCGCCAGCTGGATGTTCGTTTGGTTGTCCGTTTCGGCCGTCTTGTCCATTTGGCTCGGCAGTGACATTCATGCACCGGCGAGCAGACCGATGCTCCAGCAGATGAGCGAGGTCCATGCCTGTCCATGGAGGCCAAAAGGGAGTTGGTAACGGCGGCTCACTATGGCTATAAATCAATGCATGCTGTTTGGCTTGGGTTTCGGTCTTTAAAGGCTGTGTACTAACGTGTATTTTTGCTAGCTTTAATGCATTCCAGTTGGAGTCGCAACTAATGACAAAACCATGTCAAACGGAAGCCATCGAAGTGCGGTTGATCCACGTTA